TATTATTATGGATGAAGACTTGAAATAGGGTATCGATGTAGTAAGAGTGTACATACGTTGAAACGTGCACTGAAAAGCAAGCTGACCCCAGTTTACACGACAATAGACCTGCCCTCATATCGTCGTCCACAAGACTGCCGACACCTGCAATTGCACCTGCAACCTTTCTTGAGAGATCCATACCAATAGTCCTTCAAGCTTGCATCAAGCTGCAGTATCTGGATGGAGACAAGAATGTAGATGATCTGCCGATCTTTGCGTTCTTCGTGCGTAGCAAGCCAATAGAGTATGAAGATGGAGATGGATCTCATCAACATCCACATGATGTCGTAGAGGAGGTGCCCAATGATAAATGACTATCCATCATTCTCGCGCTCAATGCTGCGCTCGTGTTCTATGACGGAATGACTTGAAGCGCTCATGGGTGGCTCCGGAGCTGATTTGACTTGAGCGTCGAGCTCCGAAGAGGGCACAAGCGTGTCGTCTGACTGCGGCTCTGCGGGCGAGCATTCGCGTTTGCCGAATAATTCCCGTCGCACAGCACCTGGAGTAAAGTCACATCAGCCAAGGCCATTGTGATTTTGCTTAGCCTTCATGAAGAGCTGACCTAGCACGTCAGGCTGTGCTATGCCAGGATTCTGCATGTATGGTTGTTGCTGATGCATGCCCGGCATATGTTGGGTGTTGTGGTTGTGTATGCTGATGCCGGCGTCTTGTTCGCGTTGTTGGCCGAACAGCTCTCGTAGAGACAGTTGGCGGCCCATCGGGGCAGAGGAGGCGGCCTCGGCAGGCTCGTTCGCTTGTACGGCAGGCTCGAGGGCTTCGCGGCTTGCTCTTGCCCTGTCGGCGATGTCCATCATCTTGGCGGCGGTCTCGACACGGCAGTTGGCGGTTGAGGCAGGCGGCGGGTCGGCGAAGATCCAGATGCCGTAGACCTGCTCGCCCTGGATGATAACATAGGGATCGGATATCTCCATCTCTTCACTGCTAGTGAGCTCCTGGTAGAAGTTGTCTAGGCCGCGACGGTTGAGGATGATGGCGCAGTATCGCTCGGCCCCGATGGGCGAGGGAGTCAGCTGGCAGATGAAGAGAGTACCCTCAATGCCCATCTTCTCCCACGACTGCGTCTCGAGGTTGAAGGTATACAGCGCGGCGTATGGCGTGACGTGCTCTATGGCGACAAGGTCGGCGTACTCGCGACGGAGGACGGAGAAGTTGAGCTCCTCATTTGACCGCGGCGGTGGGAGGGGCACGTCGACAGCAGGCGGCGCGTCCGTCTCGTAGTCTGACGGCTGGGGAGGCGGCTGGTTCTGGTTTGCGCGGCCTTTCCGGTGTGGCGCCATAATTGATATGGATGTTTGTTGTGGTGGAGGTGAAGGAGAGGGAGTGTGGACGGGATTGGTGTAGTCAGGCACCGAGCCTGGAAGCTCCTGCCCTGCAGCGTGGGATGTCGCGGGGAGCTAAGCACAGCCATGCCAGCCCGGCTCTTCACCATCGTCATTGCTAGGAGCGGACTGTGGCTCAACTGCCTGGTGCCCGCTTAATCACACAGAGTAATCGCCATGGGATGACTGCCCGACTTTCACGCAGACCCTGCATCGCCTCCCTGCAAACCTTCGCCGCGCACCCTCGCCCGCCGCCATCCTCCTTCACCCCGCCATGGCGCCCGACGCCTCTTCCGTGCGCTCCACTGAGCGTCTCGATGCCACCATCCCCGGCGCATTCGATCCGCGCACGCCGAGCATAGCTTCCATCACCACCCACCAGACATCGCTCTCGCAGGCGTTATACGAGCGCCGCGCCGAGTACACGCGACCGCGCAACGTGCGCATCAAAGTCGGCACCTGGAACACGGGCGCGCAAAAAGGCACCGAGCAGGATGTCGGCAAGTGGTTCGTCCAGGGTAAGGGCATTGAAGAGTCGCTCGCTGGACTCGGCGTGTCCGACCCTGGAGAGCACGGCAAGGGCAGCAGAGAGAGCATTCCCGCCCAGGAAGCACGGCATAGCACATCAGAGCCTACTGTCCCCCACCGCGAATCAGGAGAGGTCCCAGGCAGAGAAGAGGTCGATGTCTACGTGCTGGGTCTCCAGGAGATTGTCGACATCACCTCTGCCGCAGAGGCTCTGAGACCCTTCACCGACCCCTCCACGGCGAATAAATGGAAAGCCTCGCTGGAAGCTGTGCTGCCCAAGGGCTATCAGCTGGTGTCAGAGCAGCAGCTGATTGGCCTGTGGCTTGTCATCTATGCCTCCCCAGCCGTCCTACCGCAGATCAAGAATGTCAGTACCACAAGCGTCGGCACTGGCTTGATGGGATACATGGGCAACAAGGGCGCTGTCACGACCCGCATCGTTCTGGGAGAGACAACCCGACTCGTCTTCATAAATTCCCATCTGGCGGCTGGAGCAGACAAGTCATCTTTGGAGAGAAGAAACTGGGACGCAGCTCAGATCAACTCCCGAACACGCTTCGATCCTGTAATAGATTCCCTAGGCTCTTCACAGAACACCGGTGAAGGTTTAGGTGACGAGGACTTTGCCTTTTGGTTTGGTGACCTGAACTATCGTCTCCATGGCATGCCAGGCGACGACGTGCGCCGCCTGCTCACTATACATACAAAAGACTTGGATCAGGAAGAGAAGGATGGTCGTTTGTCAACATCTGGCGACTCCGGGTATGGCTCAAAGCAATCATCTGAAGAAGCGCGCGACGCCGTTCCTATGCCGCCAGAACTCGATCCAGCCTCACTACAAACCACCATCTCATCCCTACTACCACACGATGAGTTGCACCAAATGATGAAGAGCGACAAGGCTTTTCATGATGGGTGGGAAGAAGGCCCTATTCGGTTCTTGCCGTCCTACAAGTACGACGTCGGCAAAGTTGGCGTTTTCGACTCAAGCGAGAAACGCCGCTGTCCTAGTTGGTGCGATCGCATCCTTTACCGTACGCGAGCATCTAAACAGCAGTATGATGTCCGAGTCAGGGAACAAGAGGCGGCACGTAAACATGCTGAAGAGATGAAGGGGATTGACCTGCCAGGCGACTACGATGTCAACAGTGTCGAGAATGTCTTGTACGCGTACGACGAAGACAACGATGGTGACGAGGACTATGATGAGAACGAAGACCCAGAGCCTGAGCCGATCAAGACCAAAGACGATCTTGAGGCTGAGATACTGCTCGAGTATTACACCACCCACATGCGTGTTCTCAGCTCCGATCACAAACCCTTGGACGCTGTCTTCAAACTGCAATACGACGCCGTGATCCCTGAGCTGAAGACTGCCATTCATGCCGAAGTCGCTCGTGAGATAGACCGCCAGGAGAACGAGGGCCGACCATCGGTTGCAGTAGTGGTAGAACGTGCGACCGGCTCCCCATCCGACGGGCGAGACAAAACAGACAGCACCTTCGAAGGTGTCGACTTCGGTGACGTCAAGTTTGCAAAGTCTACAAGACGTAACATCACCATTGCAAACACTGGTCGGGTACCAGCCACCTTCGGATTCGCTGATCGTCCGGTCGACAAAGACCAGCCTGCCGGCCCGTTCCCGCCATGGCTCTCTGTTACCTTTGACAAGGCCCATGACAAGCTTGATAAGCCAAGTCCAGATGACATCCATCAGTACTTCACACTTGCGCCTGCCGAGGTACTCAACGTCGAACTGAAACTCAAGATTGAGAGTACAAGTTCAGTTCGCGATCTCAACGAAGGAGATGCCGTGCTTGACGAAATCCTCGTCCTCCGCGTTGAAAACGGACGTGATCACTTCCTCCCAATACGCGCCCACTGGCAACCGTCGGCACTTGCACGGTCCATTGACAAGCTGATCAAGATCCCCGAAGGCGGTATCAGAAAGCTGCAAAACCAGATACCAGCCCGTGGCGAGGTAAAATGGAGCGTGCCTAGGGAAGTATTTCGGCTGACCGAGGCGATAGAAGACCTGACGGAGCGAACCCTGGCCGAATGGGACATGACCAAGAGCGAAGGGGAGAGGGCGCCTTGGCAGGACAACGCAGGGTGGCCTTTTGTTGAGGGTCGAAGCAACAATGGGCATGACCGAGAGGACGAGCTTGCAGGGATTTATGAGGCGCTAGACTGTGATACCCCATTCGTCGACGCATTCTACCCGGAGACTCGCAGCACCGAGCGCGTCGAGATGTTAGCTGAAGCCCTCATCACTTTTCTGTCCAGCCTCACAGACGGTGTGATCACCAAGAGTCTGTGGGAAAAGTTAGAAGAGGCGTTAGCCCGTCAGGAGAAGGCATCAAAGAGTGCCTCTTCCCCGTTCTTCACATCTGACGATGAGAAGATGACCATCTTGGAGATACTAGCAACAGCACCCAACCACAACGCTACCTTCCTCCTCATTCTCTCCTTTCTCCAAAACATCGCGAACCAGATTACTGAGGTGTCGAAACCGCGCCCGGAAGATAGCAACAAGAGAGCAAGCATGGATATGAGCCTTCCGTCCAGTCCGCAAGCTAAGGTCAGAAGGAAGACGTTGAGTCGGGTGCCTGAACAGGCTATCCGCCAGCTTATCGTGAGGAACTACGCTGTTGTTTTTGCAGATTGTCTGGTCAAGTGGAAGGATGGTGGTAGAGAGAAGGAGAGGGCAGCTAGGAAAGAGAAGATGGTTGGAGTGCTTGAGTTGTTTCTGAAGCAGGACTAGTCATTGGAAGATGTAGTGATACCCGATCAGTACCTGGTAATATCAAACGAATTTTCCTGTAATGCGCTCGATATTATCTTGTATAATGTCAACGCTTGACATATTTTCGAAGTTCGGTGGTCGATCTCTGTCGGTCAGGACAGTCAGTGGTTCTAGAAGCCGTCGACGCACGCTATACCCCACGCAGCATAGCGCCACCATGCATGACCCCCGGTAAGAACATTAGCGCATCCGAGATATCAAAAGTCGCGCTTCTTTAAACCGCACTTCAGCCCCCTCTACAAAACAACAATACCAATCCAGCACCATCCCCGTCCCCAAAAATGTCTTCCACAGCCCCTGCCTCACAGATCCACCTCCGCACACCCCCGGAGCCGGGAAAGAAACCCGCATCCCGCACCTACCTCATCTACTTCGTAACCGGCAACCCAGGCCTCGTAGAATACTACCGCACCTTCCTCACCCACCTCTACGGGCTACTAACCCACAACACGGCCTCAGACCGGTCCACAGAATTCCAAGTCTACGGCCGCAGTCTCTCTGGCTTCGAAATGAACGACGCTGAGATCAAGACGATGAAGTGGCGGAAACAGCCGCCGTATGGGTTGCAAGACCAGATTAGGCATTCGGAAGATGAGCTTGCGGAGCTGGTGGAGGAGGTTAAGGAGAGTGGTGGTGCGAGGGATGTTAGGGTGGTTTTGGTGGGGCATAGTGTGGGGAGTTATATTTGTCTGGAGATTATTAGGAGGTTGAGGGCGCATGGGATGGTGGGGGAGGATTTTGAGACGAGGGTTGTTGGGGCGGTGGGGCTGTTTCCTACGGTGGTGGATATTGCGAGGAGTGAGAGTGGGATGAAGGCTTCTGTGAGTACTTTTTTCTTGTTTTTCCTTGATCCAATCAGGTCCTCTCTACGAAAGAGCAGTATCGTCAACACAAGAGCTTCTTCTTTCGCCTGAGATTCGAGCGTTTCTTGGGACGCATCCCCTACGATGGCCTGGAGATGGCGGGCTAGGCACAACTTCCGCATTTCATACGACCCATGCGCGAGGAGGTGCTCTCTGATGAGAGGTACCTCAAATCCAAGAGCCTTGGGATGCATCTCGCGTTCCATTAAGACATGGGCCGACTGTTTTGTTGGACGCGTCCTTATACATGTCTTTCTGGCATATGCTAACAGTATCGTGTAGCCCTTCCTGAAGAACTCCAATTTTGCGACCTTCGCAGCCCTCTTCGTCAACTTTCTTACCATGTTCTTACCCATCTCAATTCTTACAACCCTAATCGCAAAATTCATGGACTTCCCCACGGACGCCGCGCAAACCACCGCCGCCTTTGTCAAATCCCCCCACGGCATCCACGAAGCACTCCACATGGCCCGCGATGAGATGTTCCAAATCGACACCGACATCTGGGACGAGGAGATCTGGGGCGCCGCCGCTTCAGAGCCCGCAACCAAGCATCCGCACCCGCGGCCCATCTTGCGCTTCTTGTTCGCGCGAAAAGATCACTGGGTTGCGGATGCGACGAGGGATGCGCTTATCCATACCCGTGGAAGGTTCAGCCGTGGAGATGGCGTAGAGGAGGTGGAGGGCCAGGGCGAGAACTGGAAACCCGTTATGGAGATTGATGAGAGGGAAGGGTGGCCGCATGGGTTTTGTATTCGCCACGGGGTGCCGGTGGCGGAGAAGGTGGCGGGGTATGTTCGGGCGATTGTGGCGCAGGATATGGCGAGGAAGTAGCGACTCTTATTGGTGGGTTTCACGAAGCATCTCACAGCATGGGGTATATGTACAGGGGCACATCAGATGGTCGCGAGACCAAAGAAAAACAGAATCTCTATGTTCTAGTAGATCTGACTGACATTCCATGCAAGACAGTTGGGATTGATGGGGATGCTGGTGTCATTTTGGATACGTTTTTCTTATCAAGACATGGTGTTGTGTATGCAGCAATGCGGCACAGCCCCTGCCATCATGGGTAGCAATGCATGGTTGCAAATATCATGCACGAGATCAGAAGTCATCTTCCCCGCTTTCAGCCTGTTCATTCTCAATCTCTTCCCACTCCCCAGCCTCACCGTTCACACCCTTCGTTCGCTCTTCATTTCCTCAATCGACGTCTCGCTCCGATACTCAAGATCACTTCAACGCTCTTTACCTCCCGCATTTTATACGACTCATACGCGAGGAGATACTCTACGAAAGAGAGAAGTATCGCATCTCCAAGAACCCCCTGGCCACGCGAGCGAAGCATTCACAATGCCACGCAAACCCCACAAAACCCCGCCAGCTCAGCCATACCAATATAACGAGCTGCCTCGTGATGGGTCTTTCCGCTACATCGTTCTACACCGAGGCACCGGAAACGACCCTCTCAAATGCAGTCTACAGACAGCGCCCTTGGCCAAGACAACATTCGAGGCTATATCCTATGTCTGGGGCAAAAGCAAGAAGAACAAGAAGATCATGTGCGACGGCCGCGTGATCAGAATCACCAAGAGTCTTTCCAATGTGCTGCGGCGACTTCGGCTCCCTCATAAACGGCGTAAGCTGTGGGCTGATGGCATTTGCATTAATCAAGATGATTTGGAAGAGAAGGGGCACCAGGTAGCCATTATGGGGGATATATACCGGTCGGCGAAGTGTGTCTTGATCTACATTGGATCTGAGGACAATGGCCATGGACCACTGGCGTGCTCTTTAGTGGATGACGTCAATCGGATGATCGACGAGACTTGCAGACACATCGATACGTCGCAGGGTGCCTTTCCTCACCTCAAAGATGATGATACCCTCCATTCCGACTCTCGCTGGCATTCTATGCTCAACCTGTTCCGTCAAAGCTGGTTCAGGCGTGGTTGGGTTGTCAGAGAAGCGGCATCTGCGCATTACGGTCTAGTCCTCTGGCACAACAGCGAATTTAGCTGGGAAAAGCTGATGCGATTATACATTTGGTTGTTGATGCGTGGGAGCGGAATATACGGGAAATTCAAATTATGGGAAGGGACTGTGTGGTCCCATGCGCAGGCTTTCAGAGAGAAAGAGAAGGCCATTGCTGAAACTATATGTACGGCGTACGAATGGCCCACGAGTTCTTTGTTATCACAGCTCAGCACTGGGAAAACGCTGCAGCTATCGGACGCTCGCGATAGAGTATACGCTTTCATGGAGCTCTATAATAACTTCAAGCGTGTGTTTGTTATGAACCCCGACTACCACCTAGCACCTCTAGAGGTGTATCATCAATTCGCAGTGAAATATATTCAAGAGAGAAACGACATTGCCATACTGGATCATGTTTGTCACGATTACGAATGGAACAGGAAAATCGATGACATACCGTTCGTTGACATACCGTCATGGGTACCACGCTGGGATGTTCGTAGGTGGTCACTTTCGGCAAAAGGAATCCCACGCTGGCAGCGTGCCATCGCTCGTGACGGGTCCATTAATCATCCCAAAATCATAGATTCTTGTACCCTTTCCGCAAGAGGTGTTATCCTCGATAGCGTTTGGTATGCTTCAGACGTCTTCCATGGAGACGAAGAGGAGAAGTGGCAAATATTGGATGAAATCTGGGGCATGGTCTCTCAGACGCTCAACACTTCGCCTTACGGAACTTCTCACATTCTAGAAGCCTTCTTAGATTGTCTGTGCTTCGGTAGAATGGGTGGAAATGCGGAATATTGGCTTCGGGCTAGGGATGCATTCATTACACGTCGCAACGCCGACTGTCTTGACGGATCGGTAGGCCATGAAAACGCCATCGACGATGATCTATTATCTAGTGCTAAGATCGTTTGGGATTACATCCAGGGCTACGTACAAGGAAGGCGATTCATCATTACCAGGCGCGGATACATGGGTCTGGCTCCTGATGTTACCGAGTACGACGATTCATGCGCAATCATCTTTGGTTGTCGCTTGCCCTGCATCTTGCGACAGACTTGTCCAAAGCAACAATACAAATATATCGGGTCGACTATGTTATTGGGCTCACATTCGTACAAGGGTGATGGCGAGCCCATCTTTTGGTATCCATTAGGTCACGACTACAGCAAGGAATGGGTGAATTGGGACGTCGAGGAACAAGACATCCAGCTAGTGTAAAGTAGAAGACTTCATTCTACCAGCTTGTAAGACTTTGAGATGCACAAATCCTCGCCTAACCACTAAATTGAATACACGTCTCGAGCTACATGTTAACATTATCGGTATCGGCGATAACGACACCAATCCTCCTGTCCATACGCCTTCGCCTTCCACCCTGTGATATGTTGTCATCTGAAAGCTTTCTCTGGTGAACCAACAATGTGATCCACTATGTTCCGAGGAGTAACATCTCTGGTCTGCCTCGAAGGCGAACGTTCCAAAGTGAATGAACTAAGTGTCTCGATCGACAACTTGTGGAAAGAAACAAAGAAAACGTTGAATGCCAGTGAGCTAAGGGATGGTAATTAGCTCAGCAGCTTCATTACCAGTGGGTGATGGGAGGGATGGTCTGCCAAGACGCTAGACTCGGTTGGTGCAAATGTGTTTGCGTCGACGATTTGGGATGGAGCAGGTTCATCATCTCCATTTGTCATCTCCGGAGATGTGGAGTAAAACAAAGTTCTCGAGCATGTGTACTGTACTCACGTCTCAGAATAAGCTCCTTACATCGCGAGAGGCATATGCGTACTTGCTTAGTCCGAGTTAGCTGAATGTTCATCTATTGAATGAGCCTGCTCAATGCACTTCGAGAGAAGGGGCATCTTCAAAGTGACCAGCAGAAGGTCGTTCGTCTATCATAAGGCTCTTTTGTCCGCTGAGCGCTCTGCGATAGCCCTTGTTGAAGTTTTGATCGAGCAAGTCACCGATTATGGACTAACTCGTATACTCGTTGTATACCGACCAGAGGGCCAGATCCTGTGCCCGGACTAGCAGCCACAGGAACATGAGAATGGTGCAAGAGAGACGAAACGTTTCGAAATATACCGATACCCAGTGCGGAACCAGAGTTACTTGGATCGACGTCGACTGACAGTAATGAAGGGCTGGTAATCGAAGTAAACGCGCAATGCCGAAAGAAGGTATCAACTGTTACATAGCGACAGTTCTGGGCTTTCCTATGAGCAGAATGCAGGCTTTCGAAGTAGACAATACTCGGGAACATGTTTTTGCACAATATTATATGGTTTAGAGCAGTACATACCAATGGCCATTTATCACGTCTCCAGATCCGGAGCACAGCGTGCGCAATGGCGACAACATGATGATCTATCCCGTAGGCCCAGCAGCCAGCGCGGCAATTTTTCAAAAGCAGTAAGTGCTGTGGAAATGTTGGAATAGCGAAGTGAAGAGACGGGATAAGATTCGAGGAGTAAGGAGATCTCATGGAAGCTGCAACCGGCGTGGTGATCTGATAGAAGGGCTGGCTCGTCCTGATCCTTGCACGAGGAGCAGGCTTGCGAAGATCGCAAAGACCGCTCCCGACTTCTGTCTGCGTCGATAGCACCAATGCAGAAGTGATAGCTGTTGTTCGAAGGATCGCTGCGCCTGGGAGGCCTGAGGTTGAGGACGGAGACAAGGCGAAGTGGGGAGGTTGGCCTGTGCGTAATTGGCCAGCTCCTCCAACAATGGCGTTCGCCGTTGTAGATCTCTTCGCTTCAGCCTGCACCCTTTTGTTTCGTTGCTATTCTGATAATTCATTTCAACCAGTCAAGCCGATGGGAGAATCCTGACGTTTGACCAATCACGTTGTTTCCGCATGTTTGAAGGCCTGTAAGCGGTAGCCTCCCGCTGCGCCTGCGCCAGTCATGTTCGCTTGAACTACGGTGGCTATGTATCAGCCGCAGGCACACGCCAAAGCTCACAACAGTGATGCGCAAACCACTTGCGAGATCGGCGGAAGCTAATACAGTGCACCGAACGGATGGAGTGAGATCACGGTGTCGCTGAGGGCTTAGTTGTGAACGAGCACAACCTTGAAGACATGCCTTCAGTTGGCAAATGTCCAGAGTCCTGGCAAGTCATCGAATATCGACCAACATTGGGGGAAAAGTAGCCTACATGCTCTGTTGCTTGACACGGTTCGGTGGACAGCTGTGGTATGGCATCCGAAACAAGACCTGGTCGTTCACGGGTACCATGTGCGCTGACGTCCTCGGAGAGGCAGTGGGATATGTTGACCGCATAATGCTCAACCTGGACCCTTTCAGCATGAACGTCTTCTTTGTGTATGTTACCCCGTCCGTGTATGACGTCCATGTCTAACAGGAGTCAGTGACTGCATTGCGCCTACCATGTCACTTGCTCTCGTGACCGCCAGCATCTATTGCTCTTTCGGACGCAACATCGTAGTCAACGGGGCCGATTATCCGAGGCTAGAACCCAATTTTTGCAGGTAGGTCTTCGTCGCACGCGATACGCTCGCTCTTGTCCTACAGGTTCTTGGTGGTGGCATGGCCGCAACTGCAGGAGACAAGCACAGCTCAAGTACGGGAGTCAATATCGTAATGGCTGGTCTGATGTCCCAAATCATACCCTGACTCTTTTCCTGACTCTTTGGGGGCGAATTCCCTCTCCGTCTGCGGCATGCGAAGATCTCAAGCAGCTTGCCATGCACCCAGCCACCATTGTACATCCAGCTTCGTTGACAAAGAACATCATCTGTTTCCAGTGGAGCCTTCTTCTTGCAACTGTGCTCATCTGTGTGCGCTGCATATACCGTGTCGCTGAGCTCAGAACCGGTTTCGGCGGAGATCTGGCTGACCACGAAGCTACATTCATGGTCTTAGGAGGGCCAATGATAGTCCTTGCAGTTGTAGCATTGACAGTGTTTCATCCCGATCGAGTGTTTTCAGACCTCTGGACACCTGCTGGTAAGGGCTTTAGGTTGATGGGAAAGCTTACTCATGATAATGCTAGCACAGACCATCTTGCTGAACAAGAGTGGAACAATACGGCGTACCAGCGTGTCGAACAACCCGAAAATGTCGCTTGAAGCGGACCAAATACCTAGTAGACTATGGGGATGTGGCTTTGCGTCGAGAAGCTGAAGACGGAATGACAGTCACGTCCTGTGGCAGCCCTTGTGGCGCTGTAGTAGGACTTTGCGTATCATCAGTTTCCGTCAAATTCCATGCTTTTCTCAACGAATGCACTGTTCATCGAAGTCACTTTTCCTTATACAGTTTCGGTTTAGCGTTTCACGATTGACTCGGCCCCTGCGCAGATATACCTATTAGATGTATAAGAGTTGCCTGGACCTTGAGATCCCTGGGGCCGCAGCTGGAAATGCCTGTAACTAAATCGTGGCTGTGTTGTCTTGATCCTGTGACAAGTGCATCTAGCGGTCAACCTGGTGAAAGGACTTCGATGTCGGTCGTCGTCTTGAGAGCTAGCAAAGGTATCCATGAACCTTAAGCGGATCACACCTGCCTCATAATGATCGACAAGTTCGCGATCGTTGTAAAGGCAGGAAGCGGACAGACGGGTTGGTATCAAGCCAGCTACGTAAGAACGAGAGGTCGATGCTTGCCGCTCAGACCCACGAGGAGCGGATGCCCCCGACAGGCCGTTCTTCGGCATCCGAGGCTCTGCGCATGTACTTTGAGTCGGAGAGCGATTGCCTCGCTCGGGCCCTGAGGAGGATGTCGGTGGTGCGGAGAGCAGTGTGCACCGACGTTGCAGAAGCGGCGCGCCGATGGCATGGTCTTTGGGTGAAATCCCGATTGAAGGGAAACTCAAGCTGGGGATGTGGCTGAGTGATCCTCACCGTCGTCGCTAAAGTATGCACCTTTCCTCTTTCGGCTGGCTCGCCGGCTTTCACCCTTTCTTTCAAGCTCGCCCTTCCTGTACCTCGCCAACAACAATGACCGAGACTCGCCAACCGTAGCCGTTCCCGGCGAGAGACGACTCAAGTCCATAAACGTTCTTCTCGCTATCGCGAACAATTCCTTGTCGACATGCGCCGTGCCATGTGCTCCATGCGTCTCCAAGCGCTGTGCCGCACGTCTGCGCTGAATAGCCCCATCCTTCCAGCCTTACGGGTACTACGCCCAGGTGGTGGCGCGCCTTCTCCTGTCAGCGTTTGGGAAACTGGAAGTCAACATGTTGTTTCATGACCACATCCGTTCCATCTCGCCAAATTCGCGCTAGCTAACGTTGTGGTGACCTAAATCGGGGACTTACACGGCCTCATCTGCAGCCCAGCCTGCATGAAGTCAGCCTCTTGATGTGCATTCTCATCATGGCGAGCAAGGCGGAGCCTCACCTGCGTGCACCGTATGCTTGCAGAGTTTCAGACGCGATGCTGGACAAGGTACCGTGCCTCTGGCGCTTCTGTCTCTTGTTTATGCTTCACCTCCCCTTGTCCATTTACTTCGATGTAGGCCCATTGTTCAGTACATATTTTCTCTCTGGGTCAAACGCGATATAACAATCCTCGGTGGAGCCCAGCCCGCAACATCCGTCTGGTACGGTTGTAATTCTCTTTCCAGAGTCACGGCACACATATTTAACACATTCTACGTACTGTTACCGACGCGATCGGCCGTGCAGCGCATCACTATGGACGCAGACAGACGGCTCGCCAAAGCTCTCGAGGCCGCCAACGACGCTCTCCAACATCTTTCAATAACCGCGGACTTCGGAAGTCTAGACTGCACACATATCGACCGACTCCTTGGGCGGGTAGTCGACCTACCAACCGAGGGAAATCAAAGGAACAGCAGGCGGAATTTGCTTGTCATCCGACAGTGGATGATTAGTGAAGGCCCCGGCGTTGTGCTTCTCGAAGTCCTGGGTCAGTTATATTGGCGGCTGGGCGAGCTCAATAGCAACCAGTTCGAAAAGTTCAAAGCAGCACTTCAGCAACGACAGCCATACGTTACTTTGGTGAAAGACGCGAACGCAGTAGCGCTGGTGATTCAGCGCATTCGATACATTCAGAGATCAAAGGCGGACGCTTGTCAAGACTTTCTGTCCGAGTTGTCGGATCTTATCGGCGCTAAAGGTATGCGTTTCACCATGAGAGTATCAAACGTAGCTTGCTAATCTGGGCAGTCGATTCACCAATGCTAACTGTAGAAGCTTTACAGATATGCTCACGTAGTCCGACGCGATCTGTCCGTTCTCGTGACAGCATATCTTCACAGGAGACAGGACCCGCAAGTCTCATCAAGTATTTCCCACTTAGCACGGTCCCCGCTGCCGCAGATATGGAAAACTTCCTCATCGACTTCTATGTCAGGGGCATCTGCCCGGGTCGCACCGTTGCATCGCAGACGAATGTGTACACGTCGTTATTACAGGTTGCGGATACTTGCTTAAGCACACGCTACGCTATCCTCAGTCTCTCAGCATCATACCTCTGCGAACAGATGCCGAAAGACAAGGATACCTATCACCAAGCGGAACTGTATTACTCGACGCAAGCACTTCAAGCTCTAGCATCACAAATCAGCGATGGTCATCACTATAACGGTGCCCTGGCTACTAGCATGCTACTGATGCACCACGGCCTGATCAATCAAGACGACTCCCTAATGTGCTGGTCATGTCACGCTAATGTGCTCGATGCGATTCCCCCGGAAGCAATCACCCACAACTCTGACACCGTCATGTTCTTGCACGCTCAGCTCATCTTGGCACGTACCGCACGAACTTCTCACCAGTTAAGCAACACTCGGCAGCATGCGTTCGAGACCACAAACTGGTTGGATAGTATATCGCCAAGCGAATCTTCCAGGACTTCGACTACTCTGGGAGTCTCACCTCAGTTGCTCTTCCTCATTTCATCCATAACATCACTTCCGACGGGCCCATACAGACTAAACAAACTCATGTACGCCCAAGCACAAGAGAAACAGCTTCAAGATCTAAAGCAGTGGAGTTCAGAGCCAGATGGGCCAGAGAAAGAAATCCTGCTCGCCACAGCAGAAGCCTTTCGCCTCGCCGCGCTCATCTACCTGCGCTGTCGCGTCTACGGGTAAGCATCTTATATAGCCTAAAGCTTTCACATTTTGACATGTCTCCAGGTTCACAAGATTTCACTCCTCCATCCTCGAGCTCTCCGACGCACTCCATACTCTCCTCCTTTCGCTACCAGTGAAAGGTCCACTATACACCGCCATCTACCCCGTCTGGCCCTTCTTTATCGCTGCAGTCACTGCGAACTCAGACAAGCGCGACCGCCTATACCAGCGCGTCGTACCAATACGAGAAGGCGACAAGAACACGCTCCCACCCGTGCTCAGGCGTATCAGCGGTATGCGTACCTGGCTTGCAAATCAGGACGCGGCATGCCAGCGCGACGACGGATGGTGGGACGAAATGCTTAGTCCCAAGTCTAGCACCGTCGCATTGAGCCCGCATCTGTTGTGCTTGGGTTGAGCAGCTGCCAAACCCGCCGCGACCAGTCCCTCGCACTTTCCCAAGTCCCTCAAGCTACCCTTTCTTCCATTCTAGAAGTCGCAGTCAAGATCCCATCTCTTTCTGATCTCTTACGTCATATATCCTAATTGGATGCATCTTAGCGAGTCATCATCCTCCTGTCATTTCGGCACATCTCAGGCATTTCTGCAAGCATACCATCATCGATCACTCAACGTCGAGTCACCCTACCGCGTCTAGATCTCAATTCAATCAGTATTCGCAGAAGCAGTCTCTTCTTTTTCCCACAACCTGCAGTTTCTATTCCCCGGTTGCCCACACAGCGCTCTGGCACCATAGAAGGAAGAGCGTGAATCCCATTCTTTCCGCGTCCCGTCTCTGTCACCCATTCTCTCTACTATTGCAGATCCATATTCGCCATCGTATCCTTAGACCAAACCAGCACCATGAGTTCTAGCTGCGCGGATGCAGCAACACATCCATATCAGGAGAAGATAGACGCGACCAAACGCAGTCGTAGACCCAAACTGTAACTCTGCTCACTTTGTCTTGACTGGTGTGGGTATAGAGAGCCACCCTGGATATGCATTACCGGTTGTCAGATGTTCCCAAGTCTGTTGTAACCTGCAAGAGCAATTCAATTTCGCTACTAAGGGACATTAGGTGGAGACGTTGATGAGGTGGGATCAGGTGTAGTGTTCATGGCACGTGACGAATGGTCAGTCATGTTGCGACATTGGTGGCCAGCCAAGCACGAAAGAAGAAGAGCTCGCATTGAAGTTTTATGACATTGCCATTGAATCTATCGGTATCCACATGTACTCCCAAAGGATTTAATTACGAAGAGCCTTAAATATTGCGCCTGGATGCTTAAGATTGCCAGACCGTGCGATATCGCTACGCTGTGGAACATTGAAAAAGACAAACATGACAAGTTACCTGGCGCGCACGCATATCGGGCCCGAAGGGAAGGACTTGGTACTGTAGTTGAGCAATGGACCTCACTCCTCCAAATTCCATAATATTTGAGCACCGTTTGTAGACTTTGGAGGCAGATGTATCACTCGTAGGGTGCTTGATTTAGCGCTCTGAAAGACGGACGAGAAGGCGAATAGCGGATGGAGTAGTTACATGGGATGTATAGAGGCAAATTCCGTAGCGACCAGAGGGTACAGATGACCAGACTGATATTGCCCAAGCGAATGACGCCTTCCTAGGTTTCGTGGTATGTCGTCGATCGTTCGGTAAGGACGGAAGCCGAGAAGTTTGGGTATAGCTGGGAAAATGTACATGAAAAGGGTATCGAAGTCCAGAAGCATGAAACAGCTCGCCATTACTCTTGTGGCTCTAACCGGAAGAACTCTTCATGCTGTAGTGGTGTGCCCAGTAGGGGTTTAGTGGCCGCCGTTCTTCCTGAAGTTAAGCAACTGAGATAGGCTCGCTAGGCTGCATCCGCTCTTGAGGAAGTCGTGGCTGATCAGCTCTCCGGCACTCGCTCGGGACTTTACGTCGACGCAAAGGCAGACCGACAAGAAAGCCTTGAGCTCCTTCGAGAGCTTGTCTGGCTTCTTGAGACGAGGAGTGCCATTGGTGGCAATGAGATACAAAGCCTTGAGCGGTTCCTCATTCAGGTACGGTGGTTCAGACTCGATCATCTCAATGGCCATGATACCCAAAGACCAGATATCGACCTTGTTGCCATACTCTTTTTGCTTGACGACTTCAGGGGCCATCCAGTATGGAGTTCCAACCATAGTCGCACGCTTGCTGCGCTGCTCGGTGAGCTTCGCACTGAAACCAAAGTCGGCTGTTAAAGGTTAGCAAGCTGTCGATGGAGGTTACGTGGCGGGTACATACTGATCTTGACATTGCCACGGCCATCGAGCAAGACATTGTCACTCTTGATGTCTCGGTGGATGATGTTCAAGTTATGAAGGTACTCAAGTCCCTTGCAGGTCTGATGATTGTCAGTGTAGATTCCCGAAAGTCCATGCTACATAGCTTACCTCGAAGCAAATCGTCGCGATCTGGTCTTCGCTAATGGAAGGGTTGTTGTCAATGATGTCGGTCAAAGCACCTCCCTCCATGAACTCCATGACGACCCAGAGCTCGGACTGCTCCTCTTGCAAGAACGCGTCCAAGAAGTTGACGATGTTGGGGTGTTTGCTGTCCTTCATGACGATAATCTCGTTTACGATAAGTTCTTTGCGTGGCTGGTTGCGGAGATCCATTTGCTTGATAGCGACCTGTGCACGTGGGCCATTTTCTTGCATAACCCTTCGGGCCATGGGCGAAGTGGCACCTTCACGGATGCGAGCAACATACACGGAACCACTAGCACCTTGACCAATCTTCTTTTGCTTGTTGTACGAGTCCAGTGGCCGTTCTTTGGATACGACCTCCCGGAGCTTCGCCATGACCTCGCCTTCGGACATGCTGGACATGCGCACATCCTTCCGTGCTGGCTCCTCCTTGGGCTTAGCAGTAAGGGCCTGCTCGGCCTTCTTCACTGCATCACTGACAGGAGCATTCTGAGGCTTAGCAACGTTCAACGGCTTGGGTGCAGCACCTGGCTGGTATTGCTTTTGCTGTTGGTTTTGACCATTAGCAACCCTGGGAACCTGGCCACTCGAATTCTTCGAGGCCATGGGTGGTCGTTGCTGAGTTGACTGCGCTTTGGAAGGAGATGTGCTGTAGCCACCATTCTGTTGCTGAGGTGCAGAAGGTGCTGGACGCTGTGCGACTGGCTGCCGCGGGGGCTGCTGCTGTGGGCCTCTTGCACCGGGAGTGGATGGCGCAGGGCGGCTGGGGTTGTACCTCTGGCCTGACGGGCTCTGATCTCGCGAATAGCCGCCTCCGCCAATTTCTTGTTTCGCCGCTGGAGTAACCTTCTTTGGAATATCGTTCTCCCAATCAGCTTCAGCTTCAGCCTGCAGCCTTTGTTGGTGCTCGTACTCCTGCCTCTGCCGCTGGAGTTCGCGTTCGCGCTGTGCCCTGACCTGGTCCTCTTGCCTCCTCCTGTCCTGTTCGTAGCGATCTTGTTCGTAGCGATCCTGTTCGTAGCGGTTTTGTTGCTGCGAAGCCGAGTTTTGTTGACCGCCATAGCCTTGACTGTAGCTGTCTTTTCGCTGATAATTGCCAGGCGGTGCAGGGCGCGGAGGCGCAACAGAATTGCCGCTGCCACCGTATCCAAGCTGTTTCTCCATTCCAGCATTTGTTGGCGGGGTCGGAGTGAGACTCGGGTATTGCTGAGGGTCCTCGGAGCGCTTGACAAGCTTTTCGGTGTAGAACTCCAAAACTTCCAAAACAGCCTTGGGGTTCTTCGCGTAGTCGTCTTTAGTTAAAGCAGATGCGGTGAGAAGCTTCTCCCATTCTACCGGCAGACCGACGAACGCTCCGCTGTTAGGGTCGAAGCCTACGTGCACTCTGTGGGTGAAGTTGGTGGGGTTGCTGACACCGCCCATGCTGGGACAGCGCTGGTAGATGCTGTCGATCCACGAGTAGACGTCATCGTCAGTCTCGACCTTGCATGTAATGATCTTTGTAGGGCCATCGCGGGGCGGGGACGAGCCCTTGCTGGCGTTGGCAGCCTTGGTGATTTCAAAGGACAAAGGCTGCGTGTCTGATCGCTCCACGCCGAGGATGTCTCGTAGTTGAATCGTGGTTGATGCTTTGGAGGCATTAGGGCTCTTGAAAAAGTTCAGCTCGAATTCGCGCAGTACCAGCCACCGCTCGGCCCAAATCATACTTCTGAACACGTTTGCATCCTTGACCTTGACCATGCCCTCTTTGACTGTGGCCGTTGTCGAGACGCTTCTCTCGGACTGTGTGCGTACAAGCGACATTTGCGAGCCGTTGTTGAAAGCAGACGACTGCATACTCCGGCCGACCATGTTGCCCGGCATGTTGGGGTTGGTGTCGGGGAAAAGGTTGCGCTCGGTGGTGGGTTTGGGTGGGGGTGGTTTTGGTGCTGCACGGGTGTTCTCGAAATGTCCATTGGGATACATGCTGGAGCAATGTGGTCAGCGGCCGGTCTCGCGAGTGGCAGTCTGATTGAAACGGGGCAGGTGACGCTGCTGCCGTTTGGGGTTGAAAAGCGGTGTTTGGAGCAGCCAGACGACAGCTGAGGAAGGAGCGCCAGGGGACTCACATGGGCAGACTATCGTTGTAGCAACAACAGTCGAATTATACAATAGCTACAATAGCTTCGTGAGTCGTTCACTGCCTCTGGTGCGGCCAGGCAGTCGAGGGTGAGTGTGGTGAATAGCGGGGGACCCGTGCTCAATGGGGTGAGCAAGTAAGTGGCGGGGCGATGTTGAGCGAGGTCTGGGTCAACTCTCACTGAGACAGAGGGCGCTGGGGTGGTGTCGAGGACGCAGCGTCCGGAGATGGGGGTCGCGTCGAGTAAGCAGCAATGCGAGGGTCGGGCTGCAGCAGAGCGGGATACCAGTCCTGATCCTGAAAGCGAGCGGGCGCTGCTGCCAATCCAAATCGCAAAGCGTCGCGCCGAGTCGTCTTCAGCGAGGATGCCACATTCGAGAACTGCACAAGCAGGGTAAATAGGAGAAGCTGACAGGCTGCGGGCGAGAGCGCAGTCGTGTCTGGTGCACGCAGTCGTGGTAGGGCCTGGAGTGGAACCCTTTCTCCTGGCACCATTGGCTTTGGGCACTGGCGCGCTAGCATCCGGCACGGAACTTTCTCTCACGTGCGCTCGACTCCTCTTCGGACGTCGAGCCTGAAAGGAACGCGATTTGCACTCATTGGCTGTTTCTACTCAAGCAGCGGAGGACTACCAGCGGCATGAGTCTACTACAGACGTTTCATCAGCAGACAGGCGCGACAACGGCAGAGGGTCCGGCTTGATCGCCCGGCGGTTGCAAGTACACCATCTTGTTCAGCGTTTCAGAAGAAGGCAAATTGACGTCTGAAACCCTTCTGGCTGGCCGCCAAAACCTTCCACAGCCTCCACCGGTGCATATTTAGAAACCGTGCCGCTCGCGACGTCGGTGGCTGCTTGCCTGCTTGTGCAAAAGAAGGGTTCTCTACCAAACTACGGGATTTCACGTTGTGTCAAATGTCAGTGATGTTCGTCTACATTTTTACAGTTCGCACTATGCATCCATTGCAGCTGCGCACATGGTCGACATGTATATATGGGAAGGTATCGCGACGGCAACCACTATATATCATGTCCTATCGTTTCACGTCCCACGGCGCTCGATACACCGAGTACAAATCAGCATGTTTCAACCGTCTGTTGGACGATGCCCGCCTCCGACCCCACCATTACAGCCGCTATCCCTGTCGCGACACCCGGCGATGCACGTCATGACAACAGGGGCACATGTGCACAAAGTGAACAGTTTGCAGCAAAAACTCGAGCGCACTGAACCTGCCCGGGCATGTTGCGACCGCATTTCGATAGCTTTGGTTTACTCCGGAGATTAGTCTATCCTACACCCCAAACGCCCAAAACGTCCCTGCCCGCGCCCTCCTGTTCCTTGTTCTTGCGCGCTTGGAGTGCTTTTACCCTGCGAACGGATAGTCCAACAGCCAGAGGACCCAGGATAGTGCACAGAACGATGGCCCAAGTCACGACAAGAAACATGTCGGTTGGCTCGCCTGAACTCTCTCCAAAGACTCCCTGGGACTCGGCGACACCGGAAATTAGGAAGCCAATCTCTCCACGAGCGCACATTGCAAAGGCGAGGATCAGTGGCGGGTGCAGCGAAAAGGGCTTTGGTGGATTGGGCGAAGATCGGGCCTCGCTTTCGGTACTACTTGGTGAAGTTATCGGGCGGGTTCGCGATGGGGTAGCTCTTGCCTGCGTTGAAGTGACTCCTTCTTGCGCGGGAGGTGCGCCGCCGCTCTTTCCCCACAGGTGAGGCACCGAAGGCAGGCGCACCTTGGACAAAAATCTGCCGGGTGCTTTCTTGCCTGGAAATATGGAGACCCGGACGAGCCAGAGACCACACACAAGCTTTGCGAAGGTCATGAGAACAGCGTAGACGATGCCTCGCCAGACTATCGCGCCTCTGAACATTCGTGTGATGGGTATCGAGAAGCCGATTGACGCGAAGAAGAACGGCTGTAGGATCTTCGACACTGCGGGATGGTAGTACTGCTCGTAGATGGCTGCACCACCGGTCGCAACCACATGCTCTTCACTCTCCATGTCGGTGGGTCGAGACGGAATTGCTCCTTGATGTTGGTCTGCTGTGGTCTTTGACGCATCGGGAGACGAGCCTTCTGAGCTCTCAAGCATTGGACCGACAGTTGCCTGTCTTTTCTCATCTACAGCATTCGTAGCTGAAGTGCTTGTAGGATGGGGCACGTCAGAGTCCCACCAACTAATGCTAGCTCCCGCGATATACGCAGCGAACAAATTCGACGTACCCGCGTATGTGGCTCCCGCGACAAGAGCAATGAGAACCAGCGTGTGGATCACGAAGGCTGTTTGTGTTCGCTGTAGCAAGGCGCTCAGATGTGCGCCCGGGTGAGCTTCGCGGTACGCGTTCAGCCATGCGGTCAAAGGCTTCGCGACGAAGAGACAGACAAGAGGTGCGATAACCGCAAAAGCAACCGAAACGAGGACTGGGCGAACGACCGTTACCCAGCTGAAGTTGTCGCCACCTAAGTTGGAGATGACTTGCACCATGACTAGCCCCACGACGTCGTCCATCATAGCGGCGCTTGTGAGAACAACGCCTAGGCGGGTGGTAGCCAAGCCACTCGACCCGAGAACCGTGAAGGTTGTGCCCAGGCTGGTGGAGCATAGAGCAGCGCCAGCGGCGAAAGCTTGTACTGGGCTAGCATCCAGTAAGCCTTGCAGAGTGTACGAGAGCCCGATAGGAACTAGAATTCCCGTGAGTGCGACGCCAGAAGATAGAAGCAGATTCGCCTTGAGAGATTGGAACGAAGTAGAAAGCCCGCCTAGTGAGCGTTAGTCAAGACCACAGATATGGGTAGGGTTGGGCGGTGCAGCGCATGCGGACCCTCATAGACAAGCAGTATCAATCCCAGATAGCCTAGTTGCACGACCGTCTCTTCTAAGCTCTCGGATAGCCACTTCGCACCTGGCGTGCCCCATGCAATGCCAACCAAAACCTGGCCCAGCAGACCGCAGTACAGCACCCTGTCGAGAGCAGCATTGACGACGTTAAGGAGGAGGAGGAAAGACGTGAGCACGAGAATGACAACGATGCCCGGCTCGTGATATGGCAGCGACGCGGCATCTTGAGACGCGTCTACAGCCATGATGCAGGCAAGAGCGATGAAGGACCACTATGGCGTGTGGCGCCTGCTGTACCCGGCGGGGTGCAGCCACGAGGCAAGTGAATAGACAGGTTGAATACACGCGCTACTCCAAGAGTATCTTGGACATTGTCTCTCGGTCTCAGCAAGCATTGGACGAAGAGACTGTCAACCAGATATCGCGTGTCGTCGCAGCCAGCCAACCAGAGGCGACTCGGGCGCCCAAGGCCGTGTGGATCCAGGGGCCCCGCTACTGGGACAGGGGTGCAGCGACAGCCGAAGCCGCGCCCGCAGTCAGCCATTCATTGTTTTGGGCCAGGACTCTGGAAAACACGCCCGAGTAGTCGCCAGCTAGCATCCCGTATCCACCCAAATATATTCCTACCTGCATGCGCCCAGTCCGAGTGAGAGGCCTGATGCACACTGATCATGGCGCCGCTTGAACAGCAATGGGTCAAGGTCCAGCAGAAGACATTCACCAAGTGGTACGCTGCAACCCCCGCCGCCGCCCCGGCCCCGACACTACTACTCACACCGCTGCAGGCTGAACAGCAAGCTCAAGATCCGCGAAGTCGAGATCAAGGACCTCATCATCGACCTCTCGGACGGTGTACGTGCCCCGCTTGGCCCCCAACATGGCCTCTCCCCGCATCACGTCCTAACGCCCCCTAGATCATACTCATACACCTCCTCGAGATCCTCAGCAACGAATCCCTCGGCCGCTATGCCTCCCGACCCAAGCTGCGCGTGCAGAAGTTTGAGAACGTCAACAAGTCGCTCGACTTCATCCGGAGTCGGAGGATCCAGCTTACCAATACCGGTGCCGAAGATGTCGTCGACGGCAACAGCAAGATCATCCTGGGTCTGATATGGACCCTCATTCTGCGCTTCACCATCAGTGACATCAACGAAGAGGGTCTCAGTGCCAAGGAGGGTCTGCTGCTGTGGTGTCAGCGGAAGACGGCCTGCTACGATGAGGTCGAAGTGCGTGACTTCTCTACGAGCTGGAACGACGGACTGGCATTGTAGGTGGAGCATTCTTTGGTGGGAGACTGGGCTAACAACAGACAGCTGCGCCCTGCTCGACATCCACCGTCCCGATCTCATCGATTACGACAGCCTAGACAAGAGCGACCACCGCGGCAACATGCAGCTTGCATTCGATATCGCCTCCAAAGAGATTGGTATCCCCGACCTGCTGGATGTGGAGGACGTGTGCGACGTCGCGAAGCCCGACGAGCGTTCACTCATGACATACATTGCCTACTGGTTCCACGCCTTCTCGCAGATGGAGCGCGTGGAGAATGCTGGGCGGCGAGTCGAGAAGTTCGTCGCAAATATGCAGGGAGCCTGGCAGATGCAGAACGACTTCGAGCGACGCATGCGCGAGCTGCTGGACCAGATCGCCAAGCAGCGCACACAATGGGAGGAGGCCAAGTTCGACGGGACATACGCAGACGCTAGGAACCAGTCGACCGAGTTCACCGCCTGGAAGCGCAAGAGCAAGCGAACATGGGTAGCCGAGAAGTCAGACCTGGTGGGACTACTAGGGAATATAAGGACGAAGTTGGCAACATACCGGTTGCGACCGTACGATCCGCCCGCGGAGCTCAGCCTCGAAGCACTGGACAGCGCCTGGACGGGATTGATGAAGGCCGAGAGACAACGCTCCCAGGTCATCAACGAGACAATCAGAGACATCAAGAACGCTCTGCGGAAATCCTTCGCCGACAAAGCAAACGACTTCGCCCTGGCCCTCAACACACTCTCTACATCGATATCAGCGTTGGAAGGCGATGTTGAGGACCAGCTAGAGCACACAAAGGAGATCAGCAAGTCGCTTGCACCCCTGGACGAATACCTGAACCTCATAGCGTCCATCGACGAGCAATGCGCCGAAGCGAACATCGAGGAGAACGACTTCACAACATACACATACGACGAGCTAGAATACGAGCTGGGCTTGGTCCGCAGTTCGGTATCGAAGAAGCTTGCCTTTTTGGAAAACCAGATGGTGGCACGTAACATGACCAACCTCACCCCAATACAGCTTGAGGAGTTTGAATCAGTATTCAGGCATTTTGACCGCGACGTATCGAATTCGTTAGCAGAGTTGGAGTTCTCTGCCGCATTGGCTAGTTTGGGCTTGGTATACGACGAAGAAGAAATGCACGAGAGATTCCGCGAAACTAGTGGTGGCAAAGACTATGTTACATTCGAGCAGTTTATCCGATTCATGGTGGACGAAACCGAGGATCAAAATACCGCGGAGCAAGTCTTTGAGTCTTTCAAAGAGGTCGCCGACGGCAAGGTCAGTCTATACCTACCTCTTTCCCTCATTTCTCCATGTATCACCAGCTACTAACATCCCACCAGCCATACGTCACCGAACTCGACCTCCGCCATTCGCTCGTCCCAGACGAAGTCATCGACGACCTCCTCTCCACTATGCCCGAGCACAAAGGCCCAGATATGGCAGAAGACCGCGACATTCCCAAATTCGACTACATCACATACATGCAGCGGTACATGGGCGCCGACCGCGCCAACGGCACTGCTCCCGAGCCGGAGGTCAACGGCGAGTAGAACACGACCGATCTCGAGCATAGGGTTCTTCTTACCCCGGCGTTTGTATAGCCAGCCGTCCGGGAAACCAACACAAGAGTTTGGATAGGATAATAGCATGGATTGGATATTGAGATCGCTCAGCGGTGTATCGTTTGGTAGATTTCTTTTTCTTATGGTTCTTTTGCATAGTCAGTGGCTGGTTTTGGAGTCATGAGTCCCGCTGTTAAGTTGGTTATTGAGGTGGTATACACGGCTAGGATGGAGGATATGGATGAATTGGAATTCGAATGGATTGGTTAGGCTCTTTGGAGTAAGGCGCGCGACTTGTTGCATGTTTGACCACGTTGGATACCACGCAGATAGCTGAAGAATTATTGAAATTAGTCGTAATCATGGAGTTGGCTGCTGATGATGTTTGAGGTGTTGAATGAAGGGTGGGGTTGTTGTGTGCTGGGGCGCTACTGCCATTTGTGTTGGGTCAGCAACATCGTCATCGCTCTTTGACTTCCGCGTGATGCACATCGCCCAGCCTTCTCATACTCCATTTACTTCATGTTTTCATGTACAGGCTCGCCATTTTCTAGTCACCTTATTCCTCTATCTGCATGATTTTATGATTTCATTGCTGCCTTTAACGCCACAATCAACCTGCCCATCGCTCTTGCCTCCCATTAACTTTCGGTGGAATCAGGTTCTATCTCTCATGCAATTACTTCGGCTTCAGGACAACATGCATAGCATCTTGTAGGACGCACACTTGATCGCGCCGTCATCGAGAGGGGCTTGCACCAGCGACAAAAACGACCAACGCCCGCCAGACCAACGCCAGTACTCTCACCATCTCTCTCGCTTATACCACCTTCACCTCGCCTCCGCCCACGTATCCTGCCACCCAGCCTCTGATCTCCAAAATCCCTTCATCCCCCTCCACCTACGCCCTCTCTCACTACAATACCCACAAAATCCCCCATTATACCACATACGACTATACGCCATACCACTGTTCTATCCCTCAATGTCACAAGCATTGGTTAGCTCAGTGGAAGGTTTGGCGGTTACCACTGGTGGACTAATCACCCTCTTTGGTATGTGGATGAGTAGGGTGACATGTGGACAGGGGAAGCTCACACCATAGATTGCTATAACTAGGTAGAGGTACGCAGAGAGCTAAAGCTAGAGGGTTATTACGCTACTCTGTTCTTATTAGTAGAATTTGTAAAGTGACTAGGACAAATAGCTAAGGCTATCTGTTATACACAAGACTCTCTACTACAAGCCCGAAGCTGTGCATTTCTGACTACATACATCAATTACACATATGTTAGATATGCAAGAAGACGGCCCTGACAGGGCTAGGTATCTTGTCCACGGAAGGCGATTCATTTTCACAAGGCGCGGATATTGTAATCTAGCTCATAACTTGCAGCGCGAACTGCAGTTAGTCCGTAATACTCTCATAACTGTCTCTGTGTTACGTTGTGTACTCTACTTCACAGCCCAAGCTTGTATATTATGTAGTGAACGGTGTAAAGAATAACCGAGCACAGAAGTGCAAAGTTCCATCCTACATTCCCTCCTCTAGGCACCGAAAGCACATGACTGTACTTATCTCTGGCTGAGAATTTTAATTTTGCCTGCGAACCATGGTTGCGATACATCGGAGCCAAGGCTTACAATCGGCACGTGATAGTGAATGATATTACGTCATCCATGTATATATTAAGAGCGCACACGAACCCTGTCTACTCACCCACACAACTTTGTTCCCTCACCTTGAATTTCTCGCTTCGGAAGAACTATCAACACAACCGCAGCTGTACCTACTCCTCGAACTGTACCGCTCACTATGGCAACCCCGGATCAAGCTCAGAAGCAGAAGAGCAAGAAGATTGCGAGGAAGATCGCCAAACAGTACCAGAGCAAGGATTTCAAGTACCCAGAGACTTGGGATCCCAGCGACGCGAAGGATTTTCGGGCCATCCGAGAGAGGATGTTCGCGAAGAGAGAGAAGCTCCGATGGAAGGAAATCGACATCACCGCCTCTACCGACCCTAAGAACAATACCGGTGACAAAGGCAAGGCGCCCGTTGCTAAGGAACCAGTACATCCTGACGACAAGTTTACCGATGAAGGCGACCTTCTAGAAGACGCCCTGCAGGACGCTGTGAAGCAAGAGCAGTTTTGGTTATGGGTACACGCAGAGGATGAGAAAATTCGGATGGCACCTGAAGTCGGAACGGCCGAGGACTACATCCGCGCTCTCTCCGAAACCAATTACGCGGACGACGCATCATTCAAAAAACTGCGTCAACGACAGAGCGCATACTTCTGCCCGTCTATCCCCATTGGGACTCACGAGGATTACCGCTACGCTGTGAGTCCATGCTTGGCAGTAATGGAACCTGACGATGCGATCGTCTTCTATGACGACCCACGCAAGTTCGCCAGGGAGGGAGTCATTGGAATCAACATACCATCTGGAAACAGAATCAAGTACACGGATCTAAAACAAGAGACCTGGATCAGGCGTGGGGGCTCGGATGGTTCAAATGGGTCTTCCTTCAGTGACTCCAGTATCGAAAGTATGGTGGTACAAGGCAACAGCCTCACTGGATTCGTATGCCTTCAAATTGGGCAGGTGCACGCAGTCGCCGCGAAGCACTGGTCTGACAGTGACGACGTACCCTGGAAAGAGACGGACTGGGTCATGGTCGTTGTTATAAACGACGATGGCAACCCTGGTTCTGTCTGGCTGCTACAGGACTTCGAGCCCATGATCAAAGATACGAACGACACCTACATCATCGAGCAGTCAGATACCAGTGAGTGGGGCTACTTCCAGCACCAGCTCGACATGCGTCCGCATCCGCAGCAACGTGCAGGTGTAAAAATCGCGCACCACGTTAGTGACCTGTCCGAGAACTTTCAGTGGACCATGGACGAATACTTTACGACGAAGTACGAAATCGTGCGGGCAGTGATCGCGGTGCGTGAACTGGATCGGTCGTCAGTCATTGTTAGACAGCTCGGAAAGCCTAAGGAAAACCGCTCAATGGGCTGGAGTTTGACCAGTGGTAGCACCGTAGACCGCTCAACGCCGGACATTTCGAGCCTGAACATTTGGGACACCAACTAGGGGATGGAAGATGCGAGATACTCTTCGAAGAGTGAGCAGGCGGGGTTTCCATGTGTGTTTTGGTCTTAGATTGGAGTCTTGTAGGAGGCGGTGGTTTTCTTTATTTCCTTTTGTTCGAGATTTCCTTTAGGTTACGAGTTTGTTCCTTGATTTCTTGCAATGCATGTCATAGAAAAGTCAATCAGTATGTTGCGAAACCCTGGATATTGTTGCGCCGTGAGAGGAGCTAGCTTGGAAGGACCCCGCTCCCAGTAATCATCATTCTGACGCACATGCCGAATACACTGAATGAAGACACCGTTACAGCGAGCAAACGTACATGAAGATGCCAACATGCGAAGTACGAGCAACAGCCCCACGACCATCTCGGTCCTAACTGCGCCGAACTAGATGTTCGGGGGTGCGCCACACGGCCCGCTCGGTCTAACAGTCTAGCTCCATCCAGCCGCCGTTTGGCCCTTTCCACGATCCCGACATCCGTAATCATCTCGACAAGCGACACGGCCAAGCCATGGAGCTGACGACGTCTCTCCTCCTTTGCACGCCTTACTCCCCCCTCTTCAGACTAGACTCCTAGACACGAGACAAATACCAACTTCCATTCACTCCCTTGGAACTCTCTTATTGCTTTTCTCACCCTATTGTCATCTCATACGTGGATGCATTAAGCGCGTTTCTCTAATCGATACCTGGCCCGACCGAGTCCCTGCATAACGCGAACGTAATACGAAATCCTACCACACAATCCGGCTACCCAATGCGCCCTTCCACGTTTCCCTAAATACGCGAAGACCCCCGAGAGCAGCGCACGCGACTGCGCCCACGTTGCTGCCACGGTGCAAGGACGAGGAGAGTACTAGGGGAAGATGCCGTCTGCTGCGCAATGGCAGGGCACACCCTCAGTCAAGGGCTCGACTGAGAGCATGCGCATGGCGTTGCTCACAGCCTCCCTCATCGGCTTGCAGTAAATCCCCGCTTCCCATGAGTTCTGCCTGCGCCCTGTACTAAGCACCATGCAGGTTCACGTGGAATGTCGAAATGACATACTGCACACCCTACCTCCTCGAGCTCGGTCTCACGAAGTCGAAGATATCCCTCGTATGGGTCGCCGGCCCGCTCTCAGGTCTCATAATGCAGCCTATCGTCGGTGTCGTCGCGGATCGATCTACCTCTCGCTGGGGCCGCCGGAGGCCGTTCATGTTCTTTGGTACGATCCTGGTGGCCATGTTCTTGTTGCTGCTGGGCTGGACGAAAGAGGTGGTTCGGTACTTTATAAAAGACGAGGCTGCGGCTAAGAGCGCAACAATATACGTGGCGGTGTTCAGTATATACGGTATTGATTTCGCTATCAATGCCGTGCAGGGGAGTTGCAGAGGCCTGGTCGTCGACACATTGCCGATTGCGAAACAGCAAATGGGCAGTAGTTGGGCGAGTAGAATGGTGGCGGTCGGAAGTCTGATTGGGTACGGGGCAGGAGCGATTGATCTGAAGAATGTTTTTGGGCCTATGTTGGGGGATACACAGTTCAAGCAGTTGACGGGTGTTGCGGCGTTGACGCTCTGCTTAGCCATTGGGACAACGAGTTGGGCTGTTACGGAAAGGGTGCTCATTAATGATGGGGCGGAGGAGGGCAAGGAGCTGGATCTGAAGCAAGTTCTCGGTACTATCGTGCATACTGCTTTGAATCTGCCTAGAAGTATCCAGGCTATCTGCACAGTCCAGTTCTGGGCTTGGATTGGTATGTCATTATCATATTGTTTCTGTGATCAAGAACTGACAGTGGCTAGGCTGGTTTCCTTTCCTCTTCTACAGCACCACGTGGGTTGGTGAAGTATACCTACGATACGACGCCCCAGCAGAAGTCAAAGCTGCGGGTGACCTCACAGGCAAGGTCGGCCGCATTGGTTCCATGGCCCTCATCGCCTTTTCCATCATCACATTCGTCATGTCTGTTCTCCTGCCTTTCTTCGTACAGAGCCCAGAAGAAGACGAAAAGGGTCCTGGCTTCTCTCGCCCATCTAAGCAGTCAACGGGACTGGCGAAATACAAACCAAGCCTGCTTACCGCGTGGACAACTGCGCATTGTATCTTTGCAGGAAGTATGGTCATGGCACCTTTTGTGAGAAGTTTGAGGCACGCAACCATCATCATTGCTTGCTGTGGCGTGTGAGTAACAACCATCACCACATCACTCATTGAACCCAAGCTGACAACACAGATCATGGTCCGTGGCCTGCTGGGCCCCCTTCGCCTTCCTCGGTGTAGAAATCAACCGCCTCAACACTTCCTCCTCGCACTCCGCCCACCCAAAGCGCACCTCTATCGACCTTCCCGAAGCGCAATCCAACCTCGAAAAGGGCAGCGCGCCTTCCTCCAGCGGCGGAGCAAGCTCAGGGCAATACCTCGGCATCATGAATCTGTATACCACGCTACCTCAGTTCATGGGCACAGGGATCTCGTGGGTAGTGTTTTCCATCCTGGAGCCCGGGAAAAGCCCGGAGTTGAGCGAGGCGCCGCCAGAGGAACACCACAAGACGGATGGCCCGAATGCGATTGCGGTTTGTCTGTTCATTGGGGCTTGTTCGGCGTGTATGGCCGTTGTGGCTACGAGGAGGTTGGGGAGGATACAGGGAAGACTGTAGAAGCATCATTGCCATGTCCATGCCGAAAGGTTCAATTCTTGCTTCACGATTGCAACTGCCGGAAATAGTGTGCTTGCACAGGCCGCTAGTCGCCAGTAGAGAACATGACTCTTGGGGACATCCACCCCCAACATGCTGCCATCCGTGGTTGCCCAGGGGCGCTTTCCGCTTTTGAGTTTAGGCAAGTGCGATGGAGCCAGAGAGATTTTGCTAAGGGTTTGCTAAGGATTTTCCAGAGACCCGCTTTGTTCTAGAAGGCAGGTGTGGCTACTAATCGAAGCTGACGCTGATCGGACGTGTGTAGAGATCGTATTCGCTCCAGGGCGGCCGTGGCGGTATACAGCACCTCAGTGTAAGTACGGTGTGCGCTGCAGTCGCCCACGACCGCGATAGTTCAATCGGGGCATTTTCCGGCCGGCTTTGGGCAGGTCGGGGAAAAGGCTCGTCAACCAATGCAATGAAAAATATGCGCTCCCCATGTCCCCATGTCCCCTCTCCCAGTACCGGCGGGCAAGGTCGGCCGTAGCCACGGTGCAGGGCAGTCGACGTGGTAGACTACTGCGCGCACAAGCAAGTGAGGTATCGCCGCCAGATAAACTTGAATCGCCCGTCTACAGTGTCGGAGAGATGCAAGGCAGGGCACACGTGCCACGCCTCTGCCCAAAAGACGGTCAAGGTACAAATAGACACGCCGCCCGCCTCTGCCTCGCGCACTGCATCTCCCCCCGTCCACGGCAGCGTCGATAGTCTTGGTGGTCGCAAAGGCTTTGTTTGTTGCCGTCTCGCAGTGTCCGGTTGGAATTCGCACTAGGCGTGACTAGTGCCGTAGAGGGGCGACCTTGCCTTGCCCAGCGCCTGTTCTTCTCGCTCAGCCCGCCGAACAATTCTGCGGCTCACCCACAACATCCACCTTTTGCACCCCAACTCGCCACTCGCAGTCCGACATCACTCATTTGCCAAGATGTCTGAGCCGATCCGCAATAAGAAGATGGACTCCATCTCCGCCCCGTAAGTCGCTTCCCTCCCCTCCGCCACACAATTTTGGCCTCGCCCAAACACCACCATCACACACCCCCAACATGGACGTACCACATTCTAACGTGCGCCCTGCCAGCACCCCCCAGAACACACCCGCCAATGCTGCGCCTATATCGTCGCGCGCCCAGCAGCCCGGCGTCAGCAGCATCAAGGAAGGTACGTCGCACTCTGCCACGCTCCTGCCCCTCCAACCCCGCCTTGTATTCTCGTGAAGGCCTTGACCGCTAACTCGCTTTTTCGCAGAGGAACTAGAGCGCACTGCCGCCGGTCTCTTCGCTGCCAACCCCGCCCTCGTCGCCATGATGCAGAACAAGCTCGGCTCGCTCGTCGGCCGCTCCAGCGGCTACATTGAGTCGCTGCCTGCCTCGGTCCGTCGCCGTGTTGCCGGCCTCAAGGGCGTCCAGAAGGAGCACTCCAAGCTCGAGGCCGAGTTCCAAGAGGAGGTCCTGCAGCTCGAGAAGAAGTACTTCGCCAAGTTCACACCGCTATACCAGACCCGTGCCAAGATCGTCAACGGCGCCGAGGAGCCCTCAGAAGACCGCGTCAAGGTCGGCGAGCAGGTAGACGAGGACGACGAGGACGAGGACCAGCCCGAGGCTGAGCTCAACAAGGACGAGGGCAAGGACGTCAAGGGTATCCCAGAGTTCTGGCTCAGCGCCATGAAGAACCAGATCTCGCTCGCCGAGATGATCACAGACCGCGACGAGGCTGCTCTGAAGCACCTGACCGACATCCGCATGGAGTACCTCGACCGCCCCGGTTTCCGCCTCATCTTCGAATTCGAGGAGAACGAGTTCTTCACCAACAAGACCATCACCAAGACCTACTTCTACCAGGAGGAGAACGGCTACGGCGGCGACTTCATCTACGACCACGCCGAGGGTGACAAGGTCGACTGGAAGGCCGGCAAGGACCTGACCGTCCGCATCGAGAGCAAGAAGCAGAGGAACAAGAGTGAGCATCTTGACATCTGTCGGTATTTGACTAGCAACTAACTTTCTCAGACACCAAGCAGACCCGCGTCGTTAAGAAGACCGTGCCTACAGAGTCGTTCTTCAACTTCTTCGACCCACCCAAGCCCCCACAAGACGACGACGACGCCACCTCCGATATCGAGGAGCGTCTCGAACTCGACTACCAGCTCGGTGAGGACATCAAGGAGAAGCTCATCCCCCGCGCCATTGACTGGTTCACCGGCGAGGCTCTTCAGTACGAGAACATTGAGGACTTCGACGAGGGCGAGTTTGAAGACGAGGACGATGAGGACGAGGACGAGCTCAGCGATGACCGCGACGAGGAGGAGGAGTCAGACGACGAGGTAAGCAGTCCAAGTCACTCTACAGAACACAGCCATCTAACGCAGTATCAGAACGACGGCACAAAACCAAAGCAGGAGGCTGCTGAGTGCAAGCAGAGCTAAATGCTGCACCAAAATACTCTCGCATTCCCCAGATCACAATATCCCCAGTCGTTTTGAGCGGCATGTTCGGTCCAGGCTAGCCTCCCAGTCGCCTTCCATCACACTGAGATGTCTTTCAAACGACTCTCTGCGTCCGATATTTCACTTCACGATTTCTTACTCGGCGTAATACTGCATCAAAAGAGTTCAGGGGTGTTCGTTCGGCAATGGTTGGTTGAGCTCTCTCTGGACTAGATATCTTAAGAACTACTCAGTTCTCCCCTCCCCCCACCACTTCTTCCCGCCCCTCCAGACATCTGCTCGAATAGGTTACTGGATTCTTGCCACCAACGATCACTAGCATCTAAGGCGTTGTCTAGGTGGGGTTTTGCAGCATGTTTCCTTGGGTCAGGCATGTCATGTTTACGAGGTTTTTTAGACGGCGTAAATAGTCTTGAGCGCATGTCACGGGTCAATGAAAGAAAAGTTTGAAGCCTCACTTTTGGGTAGTAGTCAGCGTGACCTGTATGATTTAGATGCAACGATGCTCAACCTCGGTAGGATTCTGCGATAACGGTCGCCTCACCTCGCTATCTAGCCTACCACGTCTCGCTTTGAAAAGCTAACGTATATGCTTTGCTTGTCTACATATCCTTGCAACCAGCGTCATACCTGAGATGTCGTGCGTGTGCTTGCCTTGGGGGTCCATGTCAAGATGCGTAGTGCGGGGTGGTGGGGGTTGTGCCGGGTGAAGTTCGGGCGTCGAAAAATAATTCTGGAATGCGACATCATCGGACGCGCCAGAGCACTTTACGCTACACCACACTATACCTCTCTGACGCCTCAAACGCCTCTCCAATTACCGCCTAAATTGTATCCGCTACCTTGGGATTGAACATACTCGGATTTTCTACACATCGCAACCCGCGCAACCCACGACACCCTACGCGATCTCTCCACGCGACCTACTCTGCGACGAGCCTCCACAACACCATGGCGCGCCAAAACCCCAACATCGTTATTACGGGCACACCTGGAGTGGGAAAGACAACACACGCGGAGCAATTAGCGCAAGCAACAGGATTCCAGCACATCTCGGTGAACCAAATAGTAAAAGACGAAGGATACCACGAGGGCAAAGACGAAGAAACAGGAAGTTGGATTGTAGACGAAGACAAAGTACGCATAGCCACCGGCCACCCCATCCCAGTCAAACTCCACGAAACCCATCACTAACCCCATCCGTTTAGCTGCTCGACCACCTAGAATCCCTCTCCCTCGCCGACAAAGGCGGCTACATCCTCGATTGGCACGCGTGCGACCTCTTCCCCGAGCGCTGGATCGACCTCGTCATCGTGCTGCGCTGCGACTCGACGTTACTGTACGACCGCCTTACCGCGCGCGGCTACAAGGGGAAGAAGCTGGAGGAGAATATGGATAGTGAGATTATGCAGGTGTTGCTTGATGAGGCGAGGGAGAGCTACAAGGAGGAGATTGTGGTGGAGTTGAAGAGCGAGAGTAATGAGGATGTGGAGGGGAATTTGGAGAGGGTGGAAAAGTGGGTTGAGCAGTGGAGGAGGGATAGGCGGGAGGAGTAGGGATTGGGCGGAAGATGGGTGGGTGGGGGACTAAGAATGGACGGATGGGTGGGATATTTGTGATGCGCTATGTGTTATGATACCAATACGGCATTTATGGGATGATGATAGTGGGTGTGGTGGCTTCATGCCCCGCCCGATACTCTCCATTGAGAAGTATGAGCACAATAATGATTGTTGAGCTCTACGCCCCAGTCTTCTGACTCGCCAGCCATTCCTTCAACTTATCCAGCGCCTTCGCTCGATGGCTAATCTTGTTCTTCTCGCTCTTGTCCATTTCAGCGTATGTCTGACCTTCGTACTCAAAGCATGAGTCCCAACCTATACACCGGTTAGCCTCTTCCCATTTCCATTACACAACCCTCCAATACACTAGAAGGCAAAGGGGCATTTGCTGACTTACCGAAGACGGTAGATCCCCGACTTTCCACCAACTTCCCGTCGGTACGGCCTTGGAAGAGGATGGCTTCGTGGCCGGGGCCTTCGCAGTACCCGAATGTGCATACCGCTTGGGCGGATTTGTCGTCGAAGCCTGAGAGCATTTTGTGGAGGTTGGGGGCGCCGAGGGAGAGCATGAACCATTTGCTAAGGGTGGGGGAGGTTAGACGGATGAATTTTGGAGGAGAGAAAGAAGATGGGAAAGATTAGGTGACATGAGATAAGGGAAGATATGGGCGTACATGTAAGGGCCAGGCAGGTCATTCATGGCTTTGAAGCAGAGACATGTGTCTTCTACTAGGACGGGACCTTGTACCTATAATCAATCACATTGTCAGTACTTGTAGAAGACTTTCTCTTTGGCATCACGACTTACGGCCTCGGCTGCTCTCCGTGCTTTGTCTTTTGTGACTTCCTCAACTGTGCCTTGGATTTCGACTAGGTCGACATTTTGGTTGCGGAGCTCGATGACACCGGATAAGATAGCTTGAACTTCTGCAAGCTTGTTTTTGTTGCCCGTTATGAAG